TGCCATCCACTTTGAAACAGCTTAGGGACAAAGAGGCTGTTTGAAAGCTCAGGAACCTGAGCAACTTGTAAACCTCATGGTTTTCATTTATGAACTCATGTTTATGGCTGTGGAATTTATTTTCTTAGCCTTGTGCAGGTGTAATGCTGGACAGTGGACTTTGTTTCAGTGTAACTGCTGAGGAGGCAGAAACGCCCGATGTTGTAAGAAGTGCTAATGCCATGACCAACACTGGCTAAAGATTAAAGGCACAAGCAAAGGGAGTTGGAGCAGCCTGACATCTGGGCTGTATGCTGCAGCTGGAATTTTAAAAGGAGCTCAAGTGAAGCAGGTCCCTGTACCTGCCTTGTCACTAAGCTGGGATCTCTGGGAATGAGACATACCCAGTGGTGCTGTCCAGGAAGTGGATCAGCTCCGATGTTGGGTAACTAACTCTGCTCTCTGTCCTGGTGCACTTCAGGACAAGGACAGGTTTGCTCCCTGAAGACCCCAGGTTGCGTGTCAAACAAATCTTCCAGGTCTCCCTCTGGTAGGACAGAAGGGTGTTGTGTATTACTGGAGAGAAGGAAATGGGTATCCCCCAGCAGCCCCTGGTCTGTCTGGAACGTGTCACCTCCTTTGGTGCTGTTTGGTGACTTTCCCTCCTGCACTTCTTCCTGGTGCAGGAAGAGGCTCTGTTCCCATCGCTGTGTCAGAGTGTTTGTCTTCATAAGAGCTTTTACTGGCACGTGTCCCCAGCAAGCTCAGTCCCTCCTCAGCACCCTTGCTCACACTCTGCTGGCACAGCACCCTGGGGTTCCTGCCTCTCTGCAGCCTGGTGGGCAGTGCAGCGTGGCTGCTGCTTTTGTGACACTGCTGTGGGGAACTGTCAGCTTCTGTGTGGCCACCCTCTAAACTGAACTGTATTACTTTCTCACATTTATTGAGACAGCCATACACTGTCTGTCTCAGGACACGTCTCTGTCTCTCAGTGTTTCCATCTATACCAGCTCTTTTCTTCCCCCAGGCAATGCCTGCACACTCAAAGTCTTCTTTAACTTCACCCTCATCCCCCACTGTTTTCTGGTACAGTCTGCAGTGACTTCTCCCACACCAAGTGTCAGCAAAGCAGCTGCCACAGTAAGGCTGCTCCTGAAATCCTTGGTCTCCTTTTCTTCCCTGGCTTTGGGACAGGCTGGAGAGCACAGACCTTGCACCTTCCCCTCCAGCAACACCACAGCAGTACAGACACCTCCTCTGTAAGTGCAAATTAGGTGGCTTCCCTGGTTGGACAAGTCCATATATTCACTTAACCAGATACTTGTGCATATTAAAGTCTTTGCCTGTTGTTCTGAAACTTCTGCAGTTACCTCATCAACAGCCTGGTCTCAACATAGCTCAAATATTGAGCCTATTCTTTCTCTTTCCATCCTTCCTGTGTATCTTCTTCCAGTCACTGGAGGTGTTTCTCTGATGCTGTATCCTCTCGGAAGCGTTCCTAGCTCCCTGCACTGACATGACACACAGCCTTACTGTGCTAAGAGGGGAATCCCTGCAGCCAGGCTCTGTACTGTGACCTGACCTGGGGTTTCATCACTGTGTGTCTCTGTTGCTACCACCTCCTGCCTGGCCTTGACCAGTGTGGTCACAGATCACCTCACCCAAAGAGCGGCTGTGAAGATCACTCTGCCCTCTGCTTAGACCAGGCTGCCCATCTCTGGGATTGTTTCTGCCCTCCCCATCCCTTGGTTCTGCCAAAAACGACTGGATCCTTCTCAGCCCATCCCTGCCTGTCCCCATTTCCATATGAAGGCCTTACCTTGCCTCAAACTGCTTCACAGCATCACTTCCTACAACCTACCGGATACATTTTTTTAGTAAGTGCCTTTGTGCTTCCTTCTCTGCAGCTCTGATGCTTTGGAGGGTTCCTCTGTGTATGTTGCAGAGCAACCTCATCCTGCTCCTCAACGCTTCCCTTGCTGTGATCAAGCCTCAGGAGAAACCAGCCCCATATCCTTGCAGAGCAGCCTGTGGGGCAGGGACCTGCCAGGCAGCTCCTGCAGAGGGAGGGAGCAGAGGGAGGGAGCAGCAGGGTGACCTGCTGCCCCCGAGGATTTCCTTGTTTGCTTTTCCACTGGAACTCGGACAGACACGAGACCGCAGCAACGTGCAGATCCCGTTCCCTGGAATGTTTCCTTTCATCTCTAATCACTTCATCAAAATCCATAAATTAGCTTGTTAAGACTCTAAAGCACAAACGTGACTGTAATTTGTGCCTTCCTGGCCAGTGTTTCTTTTGGCACATGGAACATCAGACCTTTTTCCTGAAAACATGGGTGATGACACCGGGCAAAGCTTCGGTGAAGCAGGACAGCAAGGCCACGTGTGCTCCAGGCCCACTGCCTCTCCCAGATTCAGAGAGCAAACCAGTAGTTTGTAGTTCTGTATTGCCTCTGGAAACTTCCATCCCAGGCTCATTTCCCAGGGCTGGGTGCTGTTAGCACCTAATTGGCCAGGGCAGGCCAGGATCCCTGTGGGAAGGGAGCCCTGATGGAGATGCCAAGGCTGGGGCCCTGCCACGTGCCCTCTCCTGGCTCCAGCAGGGGAGCTTAGCACCTTCTCTAATTAGCTCTGCCGTGGTGGTTCCCACTCTCCGTCAGTGTCACCACCATGGCTCCTTCAGCCACTGCTTTCCAGACCATCCCAGGAACTGTGGAATCCTCATTGGTGTTGTCTGACCTGGAGCATTTGGGGTGGGAAGGGATCTGCTGGGAAGAGCCAAAGGGACGACAGCTTTGCTGGAGGGTGTGAGGACAGGAGGTGCAGGCAGCCTTGTGGGGCAAGAACAGGAGGCTGAGGAGATGGACCTGCCACATTTCCTGAGGGAAGCCTGGTTGGAGGAGGCAAGTGGTCCCTGGATGGCTTTATGCAGGTGTCTCAGAGGGAAAGCTTGCTCTGTTCCCCTTGGGAGAGGGCTCCAGGGATGCTCTTTTTCTGAACTTTGAGCAGAAGGAAATCAAGTTGCTCAAAATCCTGAAACCTGTCCTGGGCTGGTGGGATCTGCTGGAGTGGCTGCATCTGGCTGGAGCCAGGTGTGTTGTAGGTGCAGGAGCTTCTCAGAAGAGCTGGATGTTTCTAGTCAGGAGAGCCCAGTGGTGTTGGAAGGGCCATAAGGCTGTTGCTGTGGCCTCTCTGAGCTGAGGGGACAATGGGTGACGTTCAGGAGCCCCAGTCCTGCCACCTGCTCTGGCACCTTGTGACAGAAGAAGGGTAAAACCCTTTTGCTCCTGAATATTTCATAGGGAAAAGTATTTTAACCAAAGGACGTTGCTCCCTGCTCTCCCCTCGGCCCAGGAAGCAGCTGTGGGGATGGCTCTGATCCTGCCTCCCGTGGGACAGGGCAGTGCCACTGTCCCCCCACCCCCTCTCCACAGCCACCCCTGCTCCCTCACACCCAGTATTTTTATCTCCCTTTTTCTGCCAATAAAAATTTCCTCCCAGTTTTACTGTTTTCCATTTGACACATGGGTTTTTCTCCTCGTGTTTCCTCCTGCCCTGGCCAGGGTGGAGGGGAGGGAGTATCCCAGATAACCTAATGCGGGAGGAATTTCCACGTGCTTTTCCGCCTCAGCTGAGAGAGTCTCCAGAATGGTGTCAGGGATGTCACCACCTCCGAGCGAGGGAGATCCTGGCATGGTGGTGGCAAAACATCCCCTGAGCTGGAGGATCTGCTTGGCCTTTGCCTGATCCAGCCTCTTTGGCATATCCCCTTCTTGGCCTGTGCTGGGATGGCTGGGAAGCCTGGGCTTGGGATCCGCTGCACCCAGTGTGAGGAACTGGGGGATCCCTGCCCTGGGGACCCCGGCTTGTGGCAGGGGAGGTCAGGGCCATTTGTGGAAGGCTGGAGCACAGGGAGCCGGTGGGCACGGCGGGTGGGAATGTCTGGGCTGCTGGAAAAGCAGAAATAAAGAGTGTGAAGGGAAAAAACCTCAAATGAATGGAAAAATATCACCTGTCGAATACTAGAGCTGTGCCCGTGGGGATGGGGGGTGGGTCCCCAGCCTGAGTGACGGGGACGGTTCTGCCCCTTCCTGCACTGCCTGCTGCTCCCTCCTGCCCCTTTCTGCCCCCTCCTCCCCCTGTCTGCCCCTTTCTGCCCCTCCTGCCCCTGCCTGCC